TCTTTTTTTTATTACTAACATGTTCTTTAAAAGACATTCGCATGACAAAAATAATTTTTTTCCTAATGTTAATGTGACTTTTATTTCAACGTTTCTAATGCCATTCAGACAGCACAATAATGAACTACTTTTATATTAAAAAAGTATCATTTAAATACTGAAAACGGGCAACAATTTTGTTACGCAGTATTTTAACATATTGTTCAGACACAAATTACTTTTTTTTTTATGCATCGAATAAATCAAAAATTTTGTGAGGAAAAAGTTTCTGTGCGTGTTCTAGGCGCTAAAGTGACTTTTTAAACATCTTCATGCGTCTCTTATGATAAAAGTAGCTAGTTTTTGGTGTTTTTTGAGCGAACGTAAAAACACTCAAATGAGAATCGAGTTTAGAGCGTTTAAACATGTTTTCAGAAATTATTCTTTGCTTGGATATCCATGAAAATACTGTTCTTTAAAAACTTTGCAATAAAACACATGAGATTATGCTTCAATATTACCCTTGCAACTATTCGCATGTCGTTCTCTTACCTATTTGCAAAGACATTTGACCCTCATGTGTATGTCAAAGAGCTATGTAATTATTTTTCAGATTGTAATGAGACTCTCTTTGTTCAAAATGTAATATGATCAGGTGTCTAAATGCGTTCATTTTCTGTGATGCGTTCAATTGCGTCTAAAATGTAACACTTTAGACTGTCTGAACGTATTCTAAAAGAGAAACGTGTTCTAACACTGTTTATTATTAAACACATGTAGATGCTTTTGGAGATGTTACAAATCTTCTCGTTAACGAAAAAAAAAAACTTTGTTACAGTATTGATCCGCTGCTGTCATTATATGACATGTTTACTTCACTCCGACATAACTTTAAGTGGCTGAATAAAACGCATCAGATGAGACTGGATTACAGTCCCTACTGAGCTGTGCATGCTCCTTGTATCCTTTTTTCATCATTATTGGATGGCGTATCCAAAAACAAACATTTCTATGACAGTCAGTTTATGAAGTCATGTGAATTCGGAAATATTTCCTTCTTGCTTCCTTATCAGTCGTATCTAAAATCAGCACAAAACAATTTTTACATATGATCAAATGTCTTCAAATAATTATTATAGATTTTAAGTTACACTAGATAAAAAGAATCAGTTTATTGAAAAAGTTGATTGTTCGACGAGAGATATATACTAATAGATGTTACACTGTAGATTTACTGATAAATTTGAAATGTAATTATTACTTTAGATTTAAAAATAAAGTTAAGGAAGAGTAACTCGTTTTAACTTTTACTTTTTTTGTTTCTTATACGATTGTAATTCTTGATTATTCTTAGTCTCATTTTTATTGTATAGAATTAATTTATTAATGAAAATAATGAAATGTAAAGTTGATAAATTTAAATCCTAGACTTATGTCTTTAAAATTTTAAATGTGTGTGTTTGTTTTAGTCAGTTTGACTCATTAGTGTAAGCATTTTTATATAATGAAATAAGAGAAATTAAAAAAAAACTTTTTTAACATTGAATTTAAAATATTTTTAAAGATAAAGTTCTATATTTGATTTATATTCTGCACAACAACGGAATTGATTTTATAAACATAAAAAGAAATGCAATGATATAAATTAAAATTATATAATACCAATATTGTCAGTGAATGAGTGTTCTACACATGTCAAAATCAGATAAGCATTCACATATTTATATTTCACAGACTAGTTAGATCTTGATGCATATGAAAGTTCTGTATAGACGCTTAGAAGTTTTCTAATGCATAGCCATTTGTTCTTATATATTCTATACGGAAACTAACTAATTACATTATACAATGATTCACTATCAAAAGAAGTCATTAATATTCTGAATACAATAAGACTTGTAGTCAAGTCTTCTAAATAATTTATAAGAAAATCTTAATACCTTTTTTAAAAGAAATGTATATAGTGAAATTCTCTATTAAGTTGCTATTCATATTTACTTCGTTGAAATAATCAGTAACTTTGATGATAATAGATGTATTGAAAGAGAGAATAGCGTTTCAATACATCTTAACAATACAATGAGAAATGAAGAACTGCACACATACGCATCAATGACAATCAAGAGCAACCAAGAATGTATACGACAAGTGTATGTGATTGCATGTCTTCGATGAAGAGCGTTTCATAGACATTCAATCTAAGATCACCTGCAGCTATCAGCACAGCCAGATGCTAAAAACGCAAATATTCGCCGTGAAACACATCTCATAACTAATCTGACCGTGACTACATGCGTTTTGTCATAGTCATTCATTCGAATATACATGCAACAGATGAAGAGTGTTTGAAAAAAGATACAATAAATGCATTTCAGTATATTAGAAGTATATTTCAATTTGAATTGCGTTTAATCATTACATGGACAATTTCTTGCTTTTATTTGCAAGATGACCAGAATTTCGTTTAATTGTGCAAATCAACACAGACAAGTTATATTTAAGAAATCTTTCATAAAACTGATTTGATTATAATATATAAGAATTCAGTTATTGCTTTATTTATCTTTATTCGTGTATCGTCTAAAAAAAACTTAATCTTTAGTAAATACGCTATATAGAGTTCGAACACATTGTTTATATTTTCAAAATCTTCAACAGGAATTCGTATACATATCCATGAACATCTGATAATTATTATATTTAGGCGTATGATCGAACAATGAACTATTTCATCTTATAAAAGAATGTAGTTTCGAATAGTATGTCAGAAAAGGATTAGTACATATTAATGTGTGTTTATCCGTAATTGCGACGTGTCCTTGAAGTCATTTTTTTGAGTATTCTAGAATTTTCTTCCATACGTATTCGAGACTTCTTCAAAAAAAAAGATTCTTACGTTTACACAGTATTTTCGCTTGGTTACACGCGTTGATTTATCATTGCAAACGATAGCAGTCCGTTTCATCGCAATTCTTTCTATTGAATGTGAAATCTACATAGCTTTGTCCTACAAAAATAGCGGAAAGAGTTACCATGAAATGATATTTGATAACAGATTTGCTATGATCTAAAGAGAATATTGTGGAAATTTTGATTATTAACTTAAGATCTTCTTTCTCAAAAATCTTATTCTGCGCCAGTTACATATAAATGATATAAAACTTTTAGAATGTATTGGGTTATATTAAAGAGATTATGGCAAAATTTTCATCTCTAAAACATGATATTTGACAAAGATATTCATTAAATAAAGAGGAAAAAAGTTCATTTGGTAATCAATAGTTTTCTATCTATTCTAGTTCTGTCTATGTAATCTCTTTTATTTGAAAAAGCAAGTCAAGATGTAAGGCATGATAAAAATTTTTCCTCTTTTCAAAGAGAAAATGAATGACAAGTTCTATGTCAACTCTCACAAAATGAACATTTATTTATAGAAACACTTGTAAATAGAATAAAAACAAAACTTAATTAAAAAAGAGTCTTCACTATGTTCTTCATGTTGACATACGCTTTCAAAAAATAAACTAATTACATAGAATGATGATTCAAATACAATTATGCAATGTATGCTCAAAAGAATATGAACTGAGAAAAAACGGGAAACATTTTCGGTTTTTTTCTCTGAAGAAAGACTTTTTAAAGCAGTATATGATAGAACTTATTAAAAATTTTGGCATGAAACAACGAAGTGTCAAACAAAAAGTCCTATCGTTGCTGAGCAGTCGGATTTTGAGCCATGTTTTAATGCATTTAATTCAACTTCAATTTTGATTTTTCTGACGAAAAGATTGCTCTTTTAAGAAGGGAAAGACGGCTCGATGATTTGCTTTCACAAAATATAAGTGAAGAAATTTGATACACTATAAAATTTTAATGATATTTGTAACTAATATACATTATTTATACTGATTAGGAACTAGTTTGATATGCTCTTATTATATAGATTATTAATGCCCAACTGTGCACATCTATGGGAGGTTAATTAATCAAATTTCCTGTGTAAAATTTGTATCGCCTTTGACATCAGTAAATTCAAGGACAAGGAAATGAGAAATACTAAGTAGGAAGCTTGAAAAAGCTCTATTCATAATATTATTCTGTCTGTAGAAAAAAATATAATATCTGACTTTCATTTAAAGGAAAGTGACTAAAAAATTTAGTTTGAAAGCTACTTAATACTTCATTTAGTTAGATAAATAATTTGCTTAATCAAAAATTTTTATTCAAGAATAAGAAATTTCATTTATAATTTCCATGAAACTACAATAAAAATCCGAGTTAATAATATTATGAATTGAAAAAGTGCATCGAATGATAATTCTTGTCCACTCACAAAAACTAATGGTATAACAATCGATTGAAAATTTGACTTAAATATATATAAATTTAACGTTCTATCATCTGCTACACGATAAATTCCTCTCAAACCAGTTGATAAATTACAATTACTTTTACAGTGTATCAGACCCATAGATAATCTATCCCAATTGAATGATGGTTGAATCTAAACAGCCATTTTTAATGTAGAACCATCTGTTGATAATATTCCATTAGATCCACTCCAAATATTGTAAAAACTGAAGGAAATGGTTTTGCATGATTAGCAAATGTATTGTTAAGCAATGAATGTCAAGTCAATTTTGTATAATTACAATTAATATAAGCGAGCATGCTAACAATTGTGAAATACGAGACTAGACTTGTCCACTAGTCTGTAAAGCTGCTCCATATGACGTTATATCATCTAATTGTTGATGAATTGTTTCCATTAATCAAATGTCAATACCTATTTCATAGACAAATCCAGTCATAAGTAGCCATACTTGTGCTTGCAAATTAAAATCTGGCAATATGATAGGTTTGTTACAAATAATTTTGAATATAGCTCGATCAAAATAACATTCATTAAATTGTTTCTTTAATGCTTATTTTAATTAATTAATATGAGATAATAATTGTAAAACAAATCTTTCATCAACTATTTTTATAATAGATGATATTAATGACAAAAGATATAGAGCTTATAGTCTATTTGGAATTGATTTTCCATATTCTTTAACTAACTTATGTGATAAAACATGTTTAATACCAAATAGTGATAAACAAGAGATTACAACAATTTCATCATTACAATCACCATGTCTATTTTTTAATAAACCTGATTCTTCTATTTCAATAAACATGGCTAAACGATGATTAGATAATTTAGCTTGTTCAAGAACTGTACATTTATTCGATGTATTACTTCTAATATTTGTTTGATAATTATAATAAAACTGTGTTGTATCGAATAATGGTTTTGGATGCAGTCCTAAAGCATCTGCTATCATACTGTTTTCAGCAAACAAATAAGAAAATTATTCTATAGTAGAATTTTGTTGGGACGTAATTGATATAAGAACATCTATGCTTAATTTAAGTTTTCGATAATTAGCAACAATTGATGTTAATATCAAATCTTGGAATGATTCATCAAGACGATGTAAATATAAATAAGCTGAACTTTGAGGCATTAAATTAACATTAAAGTATTTGTTGTAAATCGTAGATTGAATCACTAATGTTAAATGTTAATTTATTTCACGTTGACATACATAGCTCATTTCATTCGTAATATTTAATTGATCGGATGGATCGATATGAAAATAAACAGATTCAGTTTGTAATGTTGATATAATACTATTAATATAGTTTGGCTTTTTGTATCTGTAAACAAAATTTTTACTATCACCAACAACTACAATAAAAAAAAATATCGTAAGTAAACAGTTTGTCTGAGAACTGAGCATAAATGTCAACATAATCTTAACAAAATAAGGTATATTATTATCGTTTGTTTCATTACAGTGAATATTATTATAAAGCAATGTTGTATGAAAATAATTTGAACTTGTACGATTAAGAATATCCGAATTACAATAGCGATATACATTCGACCAAATAGAATTCGAAGATTTATCGACTACATAACCATATTGTTGATAATTGCCTTTGTTGCGTTAGTCTGGTTTAAGTTCAAAATCTAATGCACTAAATTTATTTATAATAGCACCGATCCGATCAGACATATATAGTTGTATAAGACCATCCTTGAAAGAAATAACATTGACACACGGGTTACTAATATTATACCAATGAATTAGATTATTTAGTCTACGTTGATGGGCATATTGATTGAGTGTACAAGAATAACACGACGTCTTACTGGTAGCATTAAAAATCCAATCACAAACAAATCCCAATACCGATTGAACTATTAGTTGCACTAATACTCGATGATGATAATAGTATAATAATGATGATCATTGAAACAAACATATAATTGATTAATTATGATATTACTTTGTGTCAAGTGTGCGATCTATACAAAATCTTAAAAGTATTTTGCCTTACTCTAGATAGTATACAGAGTACTCGTATTGGATAGGTGTTTTAAGACTTTAACGATATACATTACTGTATTCTATGTAGTTGTCTTCACTTGATCTTAGCAAATTTTTGTAAAGAGTCTTTTGGTTTTTTACTTCGACAACTTTCTTATCACTAACAAGTCAGCATCAACAAAAACATCTTTATATCATGATTATGCTTTCGAACGATATTGACATACCTTGTCTTTGTAGCTAAAAGTAAAGTCGTTTGCATATCTATCACCAAGAACAAAACAAAATTTAAAAAATTTACTATGTTGTGTGTTATTTTACATGAATTCCATACTATATTAACATCATTAATGATAATTAGATAAGAAGAAATAGAAATTATATTACTACACTATGCAAAATGTATTTATCAGTAGTACTAGTAAAGTATTTCAAATCAAATGAAAGAAAGACATAAAACGGAATATGTGTAGAGAATTGTAAGATCATTGCTATCAGTAGTATTTCATAAATTTTGATGATAGCCTCTTAGTCATTCGGCGTTGTAACAAAGCTATTGAAAAGACAAGCGATGAGTTTTCCACTAATTACATGGTTTTTCTAAGCATATCACGGGATATTTGAGTAGAATGTATGTCGTTCTATTGGAATAGGGCTGTAAGGATGAGAAAAAATTCTTTTTGACATAATTTATAACTTTCACTGATTGTTATTGATTTTCTTGAAAACGCGCTTATTATTTCAGTAATTTTTACTCATTTATTCTTCAGCAATTAGTAACGGGAAATATAAGAAACAATAGTCACTTCTCTCGTTAGAAAACGATAATAATGAGAACATGACGAAGTGTTTTTGTTTGGACCATTTAATTTACAAAGAAACAGTTTGTATTTTGAACAGATCAGTAAGATTAATTTAGAGACAATTTATCATTCACCAGAACTAACCTAACAAAATTTAAATAACTAACAATAATATATCCAAACAGTGATACTCGAATTTTTATATTTTTATTTCAGTTTATTACAGAAAAAAAATTAGAACATCATAGCTATATCATTCTCGATATTTTTAAACATTTATTTGGTCTCTGAATAATTTCTTTGCGATTGATCTTCGATAATCTCAATCCAATTCGATCATCAAGAAATATTTCATCTTAACTTCTACTTCAACTACAGCTTCTACAAAGCTAATCCAACCAAAGTGAGTAAAAAAAAACATTCAAGTCATTATCATAAAACATTCTCATTAAGTTGAACCCAAACTCAATGTCAAAGATTGAAGAACAAAGTTTGTTGGAATTTCTGCTTTACAACAATTTTTGAAAATTTTTATTAATATAATGAAACGAGCGCACAAGAGGATAATGGTAATAAGACTGAGGATTAAGATCGAAATTAAGAATAACTTTGTAAAGATATTAGAGACAAATTCTGGAAAATTATATCTATGACTGTAATATACAAGTTCTGAACATTTTTTGAAAATTAAAAGGTAAAAGAGTTTAGCTAACATACTTTCAAGGCAAATAATTGGTTTCCATAGAGATGATGCACAGTCTTATTATCTATAGCCGATCAATAGCACCGGTCTGCAATATTGGTCTTTAGTCAAACTTCCTCATATCAAGTATCGGTAGTCTCAATATAAAAAAGCTTATCAATGTTTAATATGCTGGTTACTATTAATTTTATAGTCGAAACAGGTCGATTTTATGTTATATAAGGTTATCGCTAGAAAAATATGACTTTCGTTTAATGAATTCAGATAATAAGTTTTCTCATGTCATAGAAACCAATCGAAGACCATCCATTGACTCTAGTTATTTCTTTTGCTTTCAACGTTTACTGGCGAAAAAACAGACAGTTTATGTATCGTTTTATCAAATAAATAACCATTCCGTTGATAATTAACTGGTCACTGCTTCAGTCAACTGTATGGTTAACCGGCCTTCAGGAAAATAAACGAAATCAATTAGTGGTTTTCGATCAGTCTCTACAATATGGATCTTCAATATCTACTAGAACTGCTGAATCCAGTCTTGATATATACATGACACTTGTATTTAGCGTTCTATTAGCACCAATTCATTTTGTGCATGTTTTCAAAAATCAAATTGAATATATCTGTCATCAATAATGTTACCATATACTGACTCTGGATGTTTCATAGTTTGGAAGAACTTTAAAGTCAAACATCCATGATATGAATGGTATATGAATTGATGATGATCATTTTCTTAAACTACATAAATGTTTTTTTTTGTCTAAATTTTTTCATTTAAATCACAATTATGAATCACTTTCTAAGGATTTCTAATATGTTCAGTCATTCGAAAACACTATCTGCGCATTCCATTAATCCTTGTATGTGCAAGATTTAGAAGACAATGAATAGCCATTTTACTTTAGCAAGCGTGTGAATACTTCTTCCGATTTTTGAGTCGTAAGTCATTATTGTCAATGAGTGCAATACAAGAAATAAGCGAAAAAGCAATGGTGGTCAGAATGAACTGTAATAAAATATGTTTTAACTGCATTCCCGTTCGCTCACTGTGATTTTATAGATAAGCAACGATCTTAATAATGGCTATTGAGTTCTCCACCACGGATATAATGGAGATTTGAAAAAAGTTTGGCTTGTATAACTCATTACAATTACTAATGAAGTATTTTTTATATAGGCAAGGCAGCCAAAAACCCCTTCATTTCATCGTTGATTGTATTGAAACTTGCAAACAACCTGATTAGTATGAAAACTACATATTAACTGATTATGTTGGTAAATAAATTTGAGTATCAGTAAAGATAATTAGTTAGCAGTAAATTAAATCAAAAGATAATTATAGAAATAAAAATGCGCTATGGTGTGATTGTTTTTTTTTGTTTTCGTTATAATCAAGTGGTGTGTTGGGCATATATAAAAGACTGATTGGCAGTTGTATATGTCGAAGAGATACTAAACGTATTGTAAAAAACTAATCAAAGATATTGAAATGCTTCCATTCCTCAATTGTACAGAAGTATTCAAATTAGCATTAGTATCATTTATGAAGAAATGAAGTATCAACAACAAACCAAAGAGCTAATAACTATTAGATTTCATGAATTATTTTCATAATCAACGGCTCACAATAAATGATGGGCAGTAGTATGAAGGTATACAATTTTATACAGCATGTACAAGCATCAGTCTAGAAACACTGAATAAAACAACTAAAGATGATGGAACGTTCAGAGAACTTCATATTCCATCAAAATCTTAGACAATAGCTTGGAATATCGTCAATAATTGGTCAAATGAATGAGATACTAGATCAATCAATGGAAAAATATTTGCGACTGAACAATAATATCTTAAGAATTATGAACTTTATCTCACTAACGGATTAAATCAACCAAAGATATTATTTCTATTTTCAATGATACTTCAAAAAAATATTGCATACCGGCTGATGATTTACGATCAATTGTTAAACCAAATCAATATAAATATAAAACATGATCAGCATTAAATGAATTCAAAAAACCATTTGATATTTGGTGTATAGAAATGGATAATGGCTCAGATTGGAAAAATCAAAGTGTAGCAGTCCAGAGTTTTTAAAGAACTCCATATGCAAACATATTATTGGTGTTGCCACTCATTCAAAACATTTCAAACCATCGCCAGCAGCAAAAACATTTTCGACTGGAAAGAAAAGAAAGAACATTAGACTAGCTAAAGCTCAACCCGTTTTGCCAGTACAATAATTGTATTTTCATTTTCTCTTGTCTTTTAGATTTCTATTAAATGTTCTTTCGGGTTTTTCTTATCTAATCATATTTATTTTTCTCATACTATTTTGCTTGATACAGTTAAATCTTATTTTTTTACTGATAAAATCTCTATTTTATACTGATCAAATTTATATTTGTTATTGATGAAGATTGTAATACTTTGAATTTCTACTTATATCTAATAGGTTATTCATGTTATTGTTAGTTACTGATTATTTCTGTGCTTATTATTTAATCTCTCTTACTGATTAAAAAATTTTTCTCAATCAATTTCCTTCGTATTAATAGCAACACGAATGATGCAAGGAGAGAAAGAAGAATCCGCACATTGACAATGTTTTAGTTGTG